GGTGCGGGAGGCCAGGTCGCCGTGACACGGGTGTGACGTGCGGGGAGGCAGGTCGCCGTGACACGGGTGTGGCGTGCGGGGAGGCAGGTCGCCGTGACACGGGTAGTGGGGCGGAAGGGTAAGAGGCAGTGAGACGGAGAGTACCAGGGGAGGTGCTGGTGGTGTTGATGCAGAAAGTGACGCCGTGGGAACAGGAAGATGACCACCAGTGACAGGAAGACTGGCCCAGGCCATCGTCACGTCAGTGCAGGCGGCTTGTGGAACATGGTGGTGGGACCTGTAGACTGGGCCACCTGTCGTCAGGGCCTCCCGGAGGTGCGGTGCGGCCTGTAGGTGGGGCATCCTGACCGCAGTGGGCCGTCGGCTAGAGCAGGCCACGTCTCCACACTCTCCCGCCTTTCCCTTCCCGCTTCGGTCAGTGTGTACTCCGTACCAGCTGTGCTTCTGGACTCTGCCCAACCTGGGCTGGGTGTGGTCCTGGGCACTCTCGTGGGTGCCCACCTGCAGGCTTTCAGGTAGGCGAGTGCGGCACAAGTGGGAGCGAGAAAGCACGCCAGAGCACCTATGGCGGAGCTGGGACCATGTCCTGCCTGTCGGGCATCTCCCCTGGTACACCATGCCAGAGGACCTGCAACAGGCTTAGGGTATCTCATCTCGGCAAGTCCTCCTCTGGCCCCTGCTCCCTTCCTGACTTGGCTTCCAGGCACCTCACGGACAGCTCTGTGCTCCAGAGGAACCCCACTCCCCCTGAAGCTGGACTTGCCAGTTCTGCAGTCCTTCCTGCCCTCCGCCCAGCGAGGAGCTTCTCTCCACCGAGATGTACTGTGTTATCTCAGCTGCCACCTGAAATCCTTTTTGGAGTTAGGACATAATGAAATTTCGAAGAGCAGTAAAAAAACAAATCAAACTAACACAGTTACCGGAGATGGACTTTGAAATCAATATGCCCCAGGTGCAGACGGTGGTGGTCAGATAAGACGCCAGAACTATCGGGCGCCGTTCCAGGCAGGGGATCTTTCACGATAAACTGCCTTCTGCTGCGCCGTGGCGCCACAGTGAGACAGCCAGGGCACCATGCTGAGCACCCGCAGCCTGGCACAGCTTGGCCCATGGCCACTGCAGGCGTTACCGGGGTGCTGCTTCCCAGCACCCGAGCTGAGAGGCATCAGTTGTTTCTTTATTGGAGAAGTAGGACAGTCAGACAGTGCTTAATTATGTTTTTAGGATTAAGGGGTTTTTTATTTTCATTAAAAAAAAAATCAATTTACTATTTTCCAGTTACAAATGAATATACATTCTTTGCAAAAAGAAAAAAAATACTAAACAATGAACAAAGAAAACTTGTCTATCAGTCTTTTATTCTGTGCTGTGCGTTTTTGCACTGGCCTAATTGCATTTTCATAGACTTACACCTTGGCATTGTAGGTTCCTACCCTAGTCCATTAGAAACGCTCAGTAGATACTAGGTTACGTCTCACTGAATCAGTGCTGTGTCTTATTAGCCAGTTTCTAGAGCTTTAGACCTAGGGCTCGGGAATGTACAGGTGGAGGGCTCTTGAATAGGGCCCAGCAGCCTTTCTACAAAGGCTCGGAGGGTGAGTAGCTTCGCCCTTTCGGCCTAGACGGTCCAAACTCTGTTGCTGCAGCATGACAGAGCCAGAAACAGTATAAAGAAACAAGCTTGCCATGTTTTGATAAAGCTTTATTTACAAACTATGAAGTGGGTACCAGCAGATGGCCTAGTGATTATGTTGCTAGACTCCTATGTAGTCAACCGCAGTTCGAGTCCCAGACCTATGGCTTAAAACTCATGCTGGGTGAGTGTGTGTGCATGCCCAAAATTCTGAGAGGAGAATGGAGGAGAAGGGATTGCAGCGTGGCCATCTCCCCTGGGGGACGATTTCTCACTTTCTGTCTCTCTGTCTCCCCTTCTCTCTGGTGAGCGCACGCACCCTATAGCAAAAATCTCTCTTAAAAATAGTCAGAAACCGGGAAGTGGGGGCTGGATTTTGGCTGTGGACAGTACTTCACAAATTGCTGCTCTAGGAAATGGAACGAGGATGTAGCTGCAAAAGAGTCCTGTGCCTGCCTGCTTCTCAGCGAGCTGCTAGGAAAGGCTAAGCACGGTGGCCCCCCTGCCTGCCTCCGTCCCTCCCACCTGCCCTTCTTCCCGTTCGTTCATTCAGACTTTTACTATAGGGCACATGCACTTAGCAGAGACAGAAAGTTAGGGGGTGGCTACGCTGCAGTCCCTTCTCCTCATTCTTCTCTCAGGATTTTTGCGTGCACCCCCCCACACCCAGAGTGAGTTTAAGCCACCAGGTCCAGGACGCAAACCGCAGTCTACTATGTGGGAGTTCAGCAACATAATCATTATGCCATCTGCTGGTCCCCTTCCTTCCCTGTTGTCCCCCTTCCTTCTAGGATGGCGGGGTTTTGTTTTAGTTTTAATGTCCAAAGTTGCACATGCTTGCCCCAGGCCTTCCCCCGTCCCATCAGGAGGACACACAGCACTTGCAGCCTGCCTGTCTTTCAGGCCTGGGATTCAAGCTCTGGTCAGCCACATGGGCTCCCGCTCCCTTAACCACTGTGCTGTGGGGCGGCCTCACGGTGCTTTTACAGACATGCAGCACAGAAGGCCCAGCTGCCCGAGAAGGCTGGAAGCAGAGTGCAGCCTCGCCTGTGTGTGCAAAATGCGCACACCTGTGTGGTGGAGCATGTGTTCGCGAACCGTTCTTGGTGATGGGTAGTTGTCAGAAGACGCTGTTCTCAGACTTTTTAATGCCTCAGTCTTTCTTATTTTCAGAAACTGATTTGAGTAATTCTGAGCCGAGCGATTCCATCACTTTCCGCGTCAGTCATTACCTCGCCGTATGTGTCGGTAGCGTGGGGTCCAAAGCGTGGCTTCCTTTGACCAAGTGGCTCATGCCGTTCTAAATCGGTTGTGGGCACATCTGTGGACTACTGAAAGCCATAACCCTGGGCTCTTCGCTCCCTGGAGGCGACCCTCAGTGGCCTTGTGCTCCTGCCTGCCCTGTGGAAATGAGGGGCATTGTTTTGGGTTGAATAGAGATCAAGAAACTGATTTTCTTCCTTTCAATTAAGCTGAGGAATTTGAAGACATTTAAATGTTAATGACATCATGTTAATGCCTGTCTGTCAGCATGGGAAGCGCCCTCTGGTATTTACCCAGCATGAGCTGGCCCAGGCACAAACAGCAGCCCAGGCCGGAGAAACCGCCCGCGTCTCTTCTGGCCGGACTGAGCAGCTCCTGGCCTGGCACACGTCTCCTTGCTTCGTACTTGTCTTGCTGATTCAGCCAAGAGCTCCTCAGAATTACCTCTGGAAGCTGTTCTTGATTTGGATGAAGGGTTAACCATTCGCTCTCCAGGAGTCCTCCGGTGAGCACACACTTCCTGCCTGCACACT